TTACAGTTAGTGTTTAATTCTCTACTATAACCAGATCCCTTAAATTTGGAGTAGTTAACCTCCTTCGATTCGCATTTCGCATAATACCTATTTGATATCAATTTTTAAAATTAATTGAAGTGACGAATTTTTTACGGGTAAATAAATCCATCCTTACTTAAGATAAACATCCACTCATTTTAATTAATATTCACGGTGTTCAGTTAACGTTAATTAAATAGTGCACATATATTATCATATTATTATACAGTATTGAGTATACGCGTGTTGCACCCAATCTATATTTATTATTATAAGATGCGATTAAATTTGTTAATTCCAAATTTCTCACGACATCCCGGAGAAAAATGTATGCTTTTTTAGGGTTTTAAGTAGTTTTTATTTTAAGCTCTCGTAAATAATTAAAACAGTACAAAACGAACAATGACGATTTAATGTAAATTAACAATAATTCATTTTAAGCGAAATAAATGCATGATGCAGGAGATTACATTATACTGTGTTATTTTGTTGTGCCCATGTCGGGTTTCAATGTTTCATCGATACGAATCATATTTGCTGATTGCGCGTGAAAAACATTTTTGACGGACCGTTTTGTATCTTATCGAAAGTTGATGCGTTGAAAAACGCGTTCATCGCCACCAAAGAATTACAGTAATGAAAATAAAAATCGTGTAAATGATTACGGCGGTCCTCCAAATATTGACCAAACAAACAACTACAATAAAATATGTTATTGACTATATCGATCGATTTTAAGCTGAGCCCGAACTAGGTAAATCGTCCGTTTGGGAATTCCTCTCCAATACTTTTAAATCGCACCGGCCACGTTAGATAACGAGTACATTTTCGATGTAGGCCGTTTGCGGTAAGGCCCGATACAGCGATACCGTGGTAAACAATTTTAGGAAAAAAATTTCCTACAAGAGATTGAAGATATTATAACAATAGATACAAAGGATATTATATTTGGAGGGCTAATAATATTCTCGAGGGTCCCAAAATGTTCGCCTTCGTCGGCTTAAAATATTTTGTTGGGTCTATTAAATGTGACTTTTGGGAATGTAACAGTACATTATAATACCTTACTGATCGTCGTGTTAGTTAACAGTGTTTCGCGTAAGTGGTAAATATTTAAAAATAAATAATATAAATAATATATTATAATATAAATTCGTATAGTCGTATATCAATTAGCAATAAGAACAATAAATATACCAATACCTTTGTTATACATTCATACCGTATTATCAAGATATTTTATATTCGTTGATGATGATAATAATTTTATCAATATTAGAGTGGTGTTTGAATATTAACTGAGAATTAATGGCGCTTTTTTTCACGTACTTTCAACATAATATGAATTTTTTTTTGAAAATATTTAGTATTCAATTTCGTTCCTAATTATGTATATTTTAATAGTCATCAAGTCCTGAGAAGCGTATATTTTTGGATTCCCATAAAATAATTGTTGTGACTAGTCATAGTAAATTTACTCAAATACATACATTACAGGTACTCGATTATATACGTTTTTGGTCGGGAAAGTCAAATAAAACTTAAATAATAAACGATTTCATGGCAGGTACATATGTACATATTATTATTATCCAATTATCCACACGACCGTATGAGCCAATAATACTTATTTCAGTCGGACGACGTGCTGGTATAGTCACGCGCCGTACAATAAATTCCACAACAAAATATTATTTAGGTAATATAAACTTACGAAGTCTACTTACACACACACACACACACACACACACACACACACACACACACAAGTATAATTTTCATGTTATCGCGGTTCACCACATCGAACCCGCGATGGTATATTATAACTCCGTGATTTCATTCTCCACAATAATAAGCGCGTTATCAATCGAACGATTATTATTATTATTTTTTGTTTCACGCATAATAATAATATCATCTAGGGGTAGAAAATCGAAAATACGTGTAGTGAATGCGTAAAGCTCCAAAGTTTTTAACCATCGTGGTATATATACACCGTCGGAGGGAAGAGCAAGCAGAGGCAGCAAAGATTGCGCGATGCGAGGGAGAAAGCCCTGCAAGTTTTCTTTTTTCTCCGGCTTCTATGTGACAACCCCGAAACTTATAACTCAGATGGCCGGTTATTCAAATTCAATGTCCGGAAAACTTACTTTTTTTCTCTTCTTTTTTTCGTTCGTTTCATTCCATTTACCCCCCCCCCCCCACCACACACACACTCTCTAGCACAACGCGAGTATCATGTACTGCTATTGTATATAATATAATATACATAGTCACGAAACAGCGTAAAAACAAACATCTTTTTTGTTTCAATAAATTAAGCATTTTTTTTTACGTAAATAAGACGATTTTAATGGTCGATTCTATTTTTTCCTCTTTTTTATGCGGTCAGTTTCATTGGACACACATACAGGATTTTCATTTTGTAACATCGTAAATCATGTCAATTAGATTCCTACCGTTTAAGTTTGGTTATATTCTATAAATGTTTTACAACGAAAAGGTACCTAATTGATTTTAAAAATGTGTCCTATACACAGCATAAAATAAGTGTTGTTAGTAATATAAATTGTGATATAGGTATTTTAATTTTTCGGTCTCTCTTTACGTTATATCATGCATTCGAAAATTGTAATAACGTCTAATATTAATGCTGATATTGAAGATTTTAATTTTTTGAGTACTTAATATTATATTTCAATATTTAATTTATATACTCGAATTGGTTTTAATTTATATATACATACTTAACTTTGAAAATATCGCAAATTAATCTGTTTATGCAATCAAATTATTCATCGGTCACTTACCTAATAAAACTGTTAATGTTTTTAGATACAAACATTTTTAACTAAGAGTAATCGGGAGCCGACTGAGTAAATGATTTTGCCGTAAGCGAATCCTAAAGTGAACCCAAACCAAGTACATGCAAACAAAACACAAACATCCTTCCGAAAAGCAATTTAAAATGCACGGGTTTTGACTTTTGATTTACACAGTGCAATTTCCGAGAACATTTTGGCAATCCGACGTACGTATACAGTAATGACTGTCTTGCAAAATTGAAATCCTGTGCAAGTAAATTAATTGGTTTACAGAGATAGAAAATTATTATATAATAATTGTAAATTTGCAATCCTTGATCCTTCCACCCCCAACAATATACAGAGTGATTCATCAAATATAACGTACCTACTGACTCCTTTTTATCCTAAATAATGCATTTATTTAAATTTAATTTTTTTGAGCACAATGTTCATACTTAAAGACTCCACTGTTACATACTTTAACTATAACTATTTTTTTTTTAATTAGAGCCATCCTTCTTTACTGTTACAGATTAAGCAGACAATTTTTTTTTAAGTTTGATATACCTATCCAAATTGTAATTTGAACCAGTAGTTTCTAAATTATTACATTTTATGGTTTATATATTATGCACTTAAGATAATCGGTTTGTAAAACATGAAACCTATAATAATTTTAAAATTCGAATAATTAAAATTCGTTATTAATCTATTCAAATTATATAATTTGCAATAATTATCTTAGTATTAGAGTGCTGGGCTGTATATTATATTTATTTTATATTTTGTGTAAAACCACAAGAATATTTATCCTTAATACTTAAACTTTAATATCTCAGAAACTACCAGTGAGAAATTTAATTTAGAGATGCACCAATAGGTATTCGAAACAAATTATCAGCTTTATATTTTATAGTTAGAAAATGTTGTTATTATTTGAAAATTAAGCTTGTATCAGTAATAGAATATATCTTGTCCTGTAAGACTTCGATGATATAAGAATCTAAGTGTTTAAGAATATCAAAAAACTTATGTCTTAACTATTAAAAATTCAGAATTTGAATAAAAGATGAAAACTAAAATATTTAATGAGGGGGAGGGGCATGCACGGCGAATCGCATGTAGTAATGAGTTGATACATATTTGAACTTTAAAACATATTAATCATTTATGATCTAGATCTTACTCCTCCTTCTTTATTCAATAATGTAATAAAATTTAATCTCAGCTATAATAATGTGATTGTAGAAACCAACCAGAAAATAAAATATCTAAACTCGTTAATTTTATGTTTCATATTTTACGACAATTATTTAATCAATCAAATAATATATTTAGCATCTGAACAGTAATTACGTTGATATTAAATTTTTATTGTATTCAATGTATGCATACACATTATTAATTTAGCTATTTATTACGATGGTTATAATAATGATGAAAATTTGAAATAATTGAGCTAAAATAAAATCTCATGTTTTTAAAATAATGCACAAAAACATTTTATTTCCCCGAGTAATTAATAATATTAGATGTTTGAATTTTATCGTCGAATTTTTGTCAGCATTATTTTGTTCACGCAAGTTTTTCACTTGATTTAATCAAATTTTTTGCTTTTTGAACTGCAATAATTATTTTTATGAAAATATTTAACTTTTTTGTTTTTTATTTCCGATAAAAAATGCTCTCGGTGTGGCATCATTAAACGATGATAAGCCTACGAAAACTCGGTAAACATACAGTTGATAAATCACATAAGTAATAGTTGTTTACAATATTGGCAAATTTGGTTAATAAACCACTCATTATTCTATCAAAAAAAAAAATGTCTGTGCTAAAATTGTATTATTTTAGGTATGTCTACACCGCATTATTACATTATGCTACCGTTACATCACTATGGGAATAGGTAATTCACTTACATACTAATCCCGTTTATTAAACAAAACGCAAACGGCCTAATGAGGCCATTTTGAATAGGTTAAAGGAAAAAAATCGGGTGTATTCGATAATATTAATCATTATTATAGATTTAATGGTAATACGATAGAGTATTTAATGTAATGAAATTATATAATTAGAGATTAAAAAATATCAGCTAATGTTTTCGAGCTATATTTTCTGCATAAACCAAACACAGGTTTGAAAAAAAATTGAATTTCAATTACTTACCAAGTATGTACAGCGTAAATAGATATAATAGAGCGTTCATTTCGTTCGTCTTAAACTGTTTTAAATTAAACAATATCTGAAAAAAGATAAATGAATATGATTGTAAGCTAACTCATAAAAAGGTAAAATACTTCTATTCAAGCATTTCAAGTAAAATAATATATCAAAATATAAATATATAATAATACTTATGGTGTACAAACTATAGGTATGATGAAAATTTCAAATTAAATTTTACATAAAACTGGGTCGCTTTGATGGTTTTATAACAAGAATATTATATTATAATATATTTTTTCTTTAGATGATGATTAAATTTAACTACGAGCAAAATCTCAGGTAAATGTCGATATCAACGTAGCCGTTAGTTTTAACATTATTACGTTCAACGTGGTTGTACAGAATTATACGGAGTGGGTAAATGTATCTCGATAAAATTAACGTAACCAAATAAAGTAAAAAAAAACAATAACTGCGATAATATTATTATAATCGTATATACGTTGCAGTTCGGGATGTTGGAGTTGTAAACACGATTCTCGATATTCGTAAAAACATCATTCATCGACGTCGTTTAAAAATCATAAATATAACTTGGAGTTATGTAGGTGCCGGTCACAACCAGAAACCGACATCATAAGAGGTAAACAAACAACATAAAAAACTAGATAGTCTACAAACACAATTAAAGTGAAAAAATTTATAATGATTTAAATCTGTGATAAACATGATTACCGTATCTTAATAATATTATTGTTCGTCCACCGACGATTGAGTTGGCTCTCCGTAGCATAGTCGTCCCGTACACAACGACAACGACAACAACAATAACAACAACAACGATTGAAATATTATTATTGTAATAACAGTTCAGTATGATTTATGAAAGTGTCAGAATGCGTCTTTTATCGGTGTAACGAACCAGAGATATTGTCACATAATAATAATATATATATTATTGTACATGCTGGACGCAATTATCTTGTAGAACTTTATCGTCGAAAACGATTAACGACAACAATAATATTATAACAGTTGACCGATAGTCTACTGTACGTATATTCCGATTACGTCGATACCGGACCGTATACGATGGTGTGTGACAGCAATCGAATGGTTTCCATAAATTGTTTTGAACATTTTTTTAAAAATAAAAAACACGTACCTATCACGAACGCCCGTCGGAGTAACGGTTTCGCCCGCGGATCACACGACTTCAGCGAGGCGGCCCGCGGTGTAGTGCGATAAGTCGCACGCCGAAACGTCTAATGCCGGTCCTGTCGTAACGAAGTCGCGCTCTCGCAGTCTCCGCGGCGCGCGTTTATACCACCGCCACCGCCCCCCAACCCCTTCGCCACCCCCCCGAGCCGATGAAAGTCCGAAAGCCGCGCAAGCTTGCCCCGCCGGCGTGCCGATATTATATACGCCACCGTACACCTTAAACCGCCGATACCCGTCCTCCGACCGACCCCCCTCTAAACCGCAGGGACCCACCGCCGGCCAAGCAGAGTCCACACCCCCTGACCACCCCTAATACGCGACGCGTGTGCAAAATACATCATACGACATTATTGTCGTGTTTTTAGTTTTTACCACTTCGTTATTTTCTTTGTGAAAAAGTTTCGATTTAAATTTTTGAGATTTTTGAATTTTTGTTTTCGTTTCTAAAATGCTGCAATACCATAATACTATTATTATAAGCTTATAAGTCATAAGTGATTTACTTTTTGGTGTTTAAAGCTGTATAGTTTGCTAAAAAAACTTAATACTTTTCTGTATTATTTGCACAACGTTTAAATTGCAATGTGCCTAAAAAAAAAAAAACACATAAAAAAACAACCTACTTCAAATCAGTTCAAAATATCCGGCTTTATTCAAACGGGAATTTAATTTATTATCACCCTATAACCAATTAAAATAGCTATTATTAATGTTATTTATTTTTTATTATCATTTGTTGGAGTTAACAAAAACTCGGTTTCATATGATATTAAAAAAATTGCACTCAACAACATGTTTTTGGCATTATTTTATTATTTGTTAGTCATAAGTAAGTCGTCTACCACTTAACTATTATCATGATGTTTATTCATATAATATAAACGACGAATACAATTGTAATTCATTCACTGGAAGCATAAAATTTTAATATCTTGAAAATATATTTATTTGAAATTTGCCATCTTCAGTAATTGAGCCCTAAAGGTTATTAAATTTCCAAAAAAACCCCTAATACCATTAAAATTTAGTTTAATAAAAAAAACCATATTTACATGAAATAATAGTTAGGTGATAGAAATAATTAAAACACGCTCACAACTTGCTAAGAATACCTCCGTGGGACCTAGATAATATTTTTACCTTTAAATTTCGTAATAACTTCAGTTTTAGATTCATTCTAATATTAGAACAACAAAGTAAAATGGATTATTCTAAACGTAAAATGTGTCATGCACTTTGCATTAGTAAGAGAGAGATAATACATCAGAGTGTCATGTGGTATTGTCTTCTAAATATGACCTAATTAATATTGTAATACCCATCTAGGTCCTAACTAGTAGAATATATTATTAGACATCCGTGTTGTAATAGATACTTTTATCAATTATTGTCTGAGTAAGGTATACTTAACAATATTGAACAAAACACTATTTTAATAGTATGTACCTATTCAAATATTAGCTATCAAACTAGTTAAACAAGCGTTAATTAAATACATTTTCTGTAGATTTTTCATTCTCAAAACATGTTTTAATTTATTTTTGCTTATAAAAATAGTTAACTTACATACCTATATCTAATTAATAAACTTTAAAGTTTTAAAAATTGTTTATTAAAACTTTTGTACTTAGTACTTTAATTAAATAACATATATAATATATATTACCCATATTAAAACAAAATGTAAAAAAAAAACTTAAAAACCAGTCATGGTACCAACTAATAAGGTTCTCAATCAATGTTATAAGTTCCATTGAAATTATTGAATATTTAAATATATATATCTACACAATATATTATATTAATTATTTTGTATCTATATATAGTAAAATAATAAATTTTATTTGTATAAATAAAATCATTACTATCATTATACAGAATTTTGTCAATCATAAATTAATAATATATATTTAATATTTTTTAAAAATATTGATCTTAAAAGAATATTCTTAGAAGAATATGTATTACCTACTCTCACATAACTGGTGAAATTAATATATCGTTAAAAATAATAATATATTCGTATTATTTTTTAATATACATTTTTGAATGTCCATGGATTTATCGGAATTGAATATCCATAGAACATGTCTAATTGAGAATACTAAATGAATAATAGTAACTATCATAATATGTAATGAATATTCATCTAATAATAATACATAAATAATTATTTTTTCAATAATTACAATGTGTTTATATTTATTAATATTACGGTATTATATTTATATAATAATAAGAATGATTTTTCTTTCTCAACAAAATTGTAATTGAACACCCTATAGATATACATTATACGGTTTATAAAAAATGCGTGTGACTTTGTCCTGATTAAGAACATCTATTTGCTAATAGTTTATTATACTACAATAAATTACTTAAATCAGCATATTGGGAAGAGTTTTTGGTTTTTTAAAATATAATCATTATTATATTTTCTATTGAAATAATACAAGCAAATTGCACTGTAACTGAAAAATTAGAATTTATTATTCATAAGCTATGGACGCAGAGTAGATATGCTCACGTATTAAATAATACAAAATGTAAGCTAATTTAAATTTTTTAGATCATAATATTTTTATTTGTGACTACTACCTAATTACAATAGAAGGCTGTTTTTTAATGTATACCAATCCCATAATCTATGATATTAATGAAACTGGTAATATTTGATACAAGACATTTAAAATGACAAAATATGACCACCTACCTACTGCATTGTCCAACGTTCACGAATTGTCTCGCATCTGAGTATCAAACCCTCGAATTGTCTCACTTGAATTTTTTTTTTTTAAAGTTGACTTAAATTGCCTCATATTTTAGGTAGTGACCCTCATTGTTCTGGATAACTATAATTAATCGATTTATAACCTTACATTATAGAAATTATAAATAAATAAAATAATTATTTATTGTAAGTTAATGTTAAACAGTAATAAATAATATGTACATTGTATAAACATTTAAGTAAATATACTGTTTTAAAAATTAAAAAAAATCAATAATCAATACATAAAATTAATTTAGATGAAATATGATTCTGTTATACGGCCAAAAACTTAAGTTTGTAAATAATTATAAATTTATTATTATGTTAAATCTTATATTAGTTTCCGAGGTTTGAATTAATTTACCGATACTTTTAAATATTGTAATGTTGAAACTTCATTTGTTTTTAAAAATGATATTTATGAACACTACGGAAATCGATATAATAACGATAGTACATGTACAACTATTGAATTATCGACATATATTAATTAATAATCTATAAGTATGCTATGGGGGGGGGGGGGCATTCGATTAGACCATTTGCGTATACTCAAATTGCCTTTAAAAACAACCAGTGGCAATTCGAGTGAAGAAAGGTCTCCTACCTATATTTGGGAGGCAATTCGAGGGTCACCGTCTAGCGACGTCCAATAATGTTTAATTTTAATTTTCCGCGTCTTACTTTAAACTCAAAATGGCTTTAATCGATATAATCGAAGTTGAATACATAATATTTTACCTATTATCAATTTATTTTTATTTTTTAACGATCGCTGTTGCTATAGAATAAATTCCGTCACCTCCGGGTAAATGTTAACTCATCGCATTTTCAAAGCAAACTACTTGTACAGGCGAGATAAGAAATACACCAAAACAAATTTAAATAAAATATGTGTTTATTTTGAGCTTATTAAAAAAAAATCAAACGACACAGCAATAGTTTTTAATCATCTACACACACATATAATATATATATATTATATATATAGAATATAGGTAGGTACACATTAAACAATAAGAATTATGGTTGTATTAAATTGTGCTCTCGCAGCTGTATTCATGATGTCATTTCTATCATCATATGGAAATTTTGCGTTTGAACCCCAATAATACATATTCATAATCAAATTACAAATTATAATATTATTCTAAAACAAAATATCGATCGGATCATCTCATGCTTGAACTCATAAACTCTTTAACGCGTTGTGTGTTTGGTTATTTTTGTATAAGTACGATTGTGATTGTTTTTGTTTTATTTAGGTAGTTTTATTAAGTGTACCTACCAATAGATTTGATTTTTATCACACAACAATATTCGTTAAAATAAAATCAGTTTTACCATTTCGTTCCAGCCAATAGCTTCTAGTGATATGTAGATTTTACAACACAAAATATATTCGAAACAATTCAAACAAATTACAATGACCTCCTCCAAGTCTGTCCATTTGACAAATTATGTACAATGTATTTTGGAAAACTCGGTATACAATAATATAATTTGGCAGCGTAATATTATTTTATGAACGATAAAACATGACAAATAATATTGCACATTGATTATAATATTATGTATTTATTATTATATTATTATTCACTGCAGTTTTAACCACGAGGTATTATTTTTCTTAACATCAACTTCAAGGTTACTATTACCTTACGTTTAGTTATTTACAATAGATTAATTTCTATTTTTCGGTTTTTTTTCTTTTTTCTTTTTGAGTTTAATTTATTACAGGCTTAAGATTGTCCGATTGTTTCAAATAAATGTACCGGTAAGCGAAATTCGTTTCTTGCTTCTGACAGTAGGCGATATTGCGTTCAGTTGTCGTAATAATGTAGATTGCATAATGGACATAATAGAGGTCCAGTGTTTGCCATCAGATATCCATGGGAATTCCTAGTTTCGCCAATGGCGAGCATATTTAGTGTAATTTAATTCTTCTTTGTGGTTTGAAATGATATTGCTTGGCCAGAGTTTTATTCCTTTCGATTTGTTTTCCTTAAATTACGACTTTCGGTGTTCTACGAATTGATAATGAATTGATCAATATTTCTGCGTAAGAAGAAAAATAGTGTTTTGCTATTGGTGTTGTTTATTGCATTTCAAGCTCCTTTGTCAGCCTCTACATCATTACCTTTTACGTTGCAATGGCCCGGTCTCCATATGAAACGTACATATTTATTGGATTGGTAAATAAGGTTATTGATCGATTAAGTCAAAGGATCAGTTAGAACTTTATTGTTCAAATTGAATATAGCACTAAGTGAGTCAGAACAGAA